CTGTTCTAATAAATAAGGATAAATTTTACTTGCAAAAATTTATGTTATGGATATTTATTGTAGTTAGGTTTTTCTTGAATAATAATAACCTTTAAGAAGATATTTTTTTTAAATATTGATCACTATTAATAAACATGTTTGATTTTTAACACGATATAATTTTTACTTATAAAAACTTGTTATGTTATGTATTGTATACATATAAATCTTAAAAGAAAAATAATCTGATAAGTTTTACTTGTAAAAATTTATGTACATAATATATAACTTAAAAAGAGATATAATAATAATTTGAATTTGAGATTTCTAAAAATATTAAGCATTCAATAATCATATACAGGGTGTCTCAGAACCTTGGGACACGGGCTCCGTAGGGACATAGAGCTACGAGGGTGGTCCGATAAGTACTTAGCCTACAAAAGAAAAACGAAAATTTTGAAAAAGTGGCGATTTATTTCTCAACATAGTCTCCTTTTAACTCGATACACTTTACCCAGCGATGCCCCAACTTCTTTAACCCGTCTGAAAAATACGTTTTCTCGAGGTCTGCAAAGTAGGCCTCCGTGGCGGCGATGACCTCCTCATTCGACTCAAATTTCTGCCCGGCGAGTGACTTTTTCAAATTTGGAAACAAAAAGAAGTCGCACGGGGCCAAATCTGGAGAATACGGTGGATGGGGCAGCAGTTCGTAGCCCAATTCGACCAATTTGACCGTGGCGAGGGCGAAGGTGTGAGTCGGTGCGTTGTCATGGTGGAAGAGCACTTTTTTCTTCGCCAAATGGGGCCGTTTTTTCTGCAATTCGGCGTCGAATCGGCTCAATAATTCGGCATAGTACAGCCCTGTGACCGTTTTGCCCTTCTCCAGGTAGTCGATGTAGATCACACCTTGTGAGTCCCAGAAAACGGTGGCCATCACCTTCCCGGCCGATAGGACAGTCTTCGCCTTCTTCGGAGCACGTTCGCCGGGTGAAGTCCACTGTTTCGACTGTTCCTTGGTCTCTGGTGTGTACCAGTGGATCCATGTTTCGTCGACGGTCACGAAACGACGCAGAAACTCCTTCGGATTGCGTCAAACACTGCTCTGAAGTGGTCTCACGGTTGCGCTTGTTGTCCGGAGTGAGCAAACGCGGCACCCACCGCGCCGACAGCTTTCTCATGCCCAAAATTTCATGCAGGATATGACCCACGCGGTCTTTTGAGATGCCTACTGTCTCAGCTATCTCGCGCACCTTCAATCGGCGGTCTGCCAATACGAGATCGTGGATTTTTGTCATGTTATCCTCCGTGGTAGCCGTTTTCGGGGCACCTGGGCGTGGCTCATCAAAAACCGACGTGCGACCACGTTGAAACTCGTTAAACCAATTTTTGACGGTCGCCATCGAAGGAGAAGAGTCACCGTACACAGCATCCAAGCGCTCTTTGATTTCGCTGCGCGATTTCCCTTCCAAAAACAAGAATCGAATCACCGACCGATATTGCTCTTTTTCCATTTTTCTAAAATCCGCGGACACGCCCGCTTCCACACGCGGTCAAAACAAAACTACGAGTCCGATTCGGCTGAAATTTCGACAGTAGCCGACTACGAGAATGTACTACACGATAGTAAATTTCTCTTGCGATAGTGGCGCCATCGGGCGGTGAGGCTAAGTACTTATCGGACCGCCCTCGTAAGTGAGAGGAACAAAAAAGTCCTTTACCATAATGTGAAAATCGTAAGTTTTTTAGTAATAACCGGTTAAAGTTTGGCGTTTTCCACGCCCATCGCGGCCTATAGACGCTTCGCGGCAAGCTGTGCGTAGGGGCTGAGCGATAACGCGTCTCGCACTGACTGTTCGATGGCGTCTTGGCGCTTTGACGCCGCGCGACGGTCAGCGCGAGCCGCGTTATCGCTCAGCCCCCACGCACATAGCTTGCCGCGGAGCGTCTATAGGCCGCGCTGGGCGTAGAAAATGCCAAACTTTATGCTGTTATAATTAAAAAACTATTACGATTTTCACATTATGGTAAAGGACTTTTTTGTTCCTCTCACTTAGCTCTATGTCCCTACGGAGCCTGTATGCCAAAGTTCTGAGACACCCTGTACACAGGGTGTCCCATTTTAATGTCCCACCCTAAATAACTCTTCAGTATTGAAGTTTCAAGGAAAATGATCTGAATAAAAGTTGTAGGAATTTAAGTGAGCTACCTTATAATGACCTTGACTTTGACCTTGACTTCTATTTTCAAGGTCGTTTGAAGGTCAACTTGCGTTTTTTAAACGGGGACCCTTATTTTTTATTACACTGTTTTTCTACTAGTTAATTTGAACAACTTTTGTCTAAAATATTTTTTTATTTGTCTAATATTTTTTCAGATATTTGAGGAAATATCTTGATAACTTATTCAATAATTAACTTACGATATCTCGCTAACTATTTATCGGAAGAAAAAGTGTAGACTTTCTTACTTTATTTAATCTCAAGAATATATTGTTACAATAGCGCCCTGATTTTTATTAATTTGATGATTTTGAAATTTCCAAAAATCAATAAGTTAACAAAAGTCAAGGCGCTATTGTAACAATATATTCTGGAGACTAAATAAAGCAAGAAAGTCTAGTACCACTTTTTCTTTCGACAAATAGTTAGCGAGATATCGTAAGTTAAATATTGAAAAAGTTATCAAGTTTTCCTCAAATACCTCAAAAAATATTAGGCAAATAAAAAAATGTTTTAGACAAAAGTTATTCAAATTAATTGGTAGAAAAAGTCAGTGTAATAAAAAATTAGGATCCCCATTTAAAAAACGCAAGTTGATCTTCAAATGACCTTGAAAATAGAGGTCAAGGTCAAAGTTGAGATCATCAGAAGGTAGTTCACTTAAATCTCTATAACTTTTATTTAGATCATTTTCCTTGAAACTTCAATATTGAAGTGTTATTTGGGGCGGGACATTAAAATGGGACACCCCAATATTTCATACATAAGGTAAATACATACAAAAAATTAAATATTTCGCAATTAGCATTTGTATAAACAATAATACAACATGCATATGCTTAAAGTTGCTCATTTGTATTAAATCGTTAAATATGAAATGTCCGATTTCCTTAAGTACTAAGTTCGACAGTCGATATCTCTGACATTTCATCTTCTTGGTTTTTTTCCTTGTAAAGGTACATCATAATTCTTTCAAATGCATATTTTGGTTTGTGATTATCTTTCGAAATGTATTTGGTACAGCAATCTTTGTGTAACCATGAATAAGTTAAAAATTCGTATTATTTTCAAATATGAGTTCCGTCATGGAACCAATGCAGCGTAGACAACTTGAAATATCAACAAAGTGTGAAGATGTGGCTAATGAACACACAATATATCGATGGTTTGAGAAGTTTCGTTCTGGCGATTTTAATCTTGAAAATAAGCCACGTGGGCGACCCGAGACCAAGGTGGATAATGATGAGCTGAAAGCTGTAGTGGAAGTGAATACATCTCAAACTACGCGTGAATTAGCAGCAAGGTTTAACGTTACTATTCCAACGATATTGGATCACTTGAAACAAATCAGCAAGGTAAAGAAGTTAGATAGATGGGTTCCGCATGAATTAAACGAGCGTCAGAAGAGAAATCGTCTCGAAGCTTCCCTTTCTTTACTATCACGACATAAAGGCGAACCATTTTTACATTTTTATATTATATTATTACATATGATGAAAAATGGATTCTTTTCGACAATCGCAAACGTTCGGTACAATGGTTGGATATAGCCGAAATACAGTCCGAAACCGAATATTCACAAAAGAAAACTAATGGTGTAATAGTTTGGTGGTCTAGCGCTGGTATTGTCCACTACAGCTTCATGAAACCTGGTCAATCGATTATAGCGGATGTATACTGTAACCAACTGAACGAAATGATGAGGATGCTTGCGATTAAGTAGCCAAGATTGGTCAACAGAGACAAGCCAATCCTCTTACAAAACAACGCTCGACCACATGTCGCACAAACAACGCTCAAACTACAGCAGCTGGATTTGGAAATTCTCTGTCACCTACCATATTCACCAGACCTTGCGCCACTTCTTCCAGGTACTGGACCACTTCTTGCAAGGAAAAATATTCAACTCTCAACAAGCTGTGGAAAACGCCTTCCGCGATTTCATCGTCATTCGTTCTTCAGGCTTCTTCGCTGCTGGCATGAATAAGCTATCGTTAAGATGATAGAACTGTGTCGATACTTTAGGCGCATACTTTGATTAATTTTACTATTTCTGGTTTGAGATATAACAAACCAAACTTTTGATTCGAAATCGGACATTTCATACTTAATGACCTAATATATTTAATTGCTCAAAGGTACATCGTATTTCCGTAAAGTAAAAGTTACAATTTTTGAGTGTTTTTCGATAGTGTTTTTCGAAATTTCCAATTATAAGAGTTAATTGAAACTTTCCTCTTCTTCGGCAGATGGAGAAATTTTTCATTCAAAAAAGAAAAGAAAGAAAAATTAGAAGAAAAGAAAATTACTTTTCACCAAGATAATATCTCCTTAAAGACGGTTATATATTCAATTGCTTCTAATTCACTGTCAATCGATGTGGCAAAGAAACATTAAAGAAGCAGAGTGCATCTAAAAAAGTTTCGCTTTGAGAGCGGAAAAGGCAACACGCACACGAGAAACATGCGCGCGTACGTACTTATCGTGATCGAAACCGAATCGAAGCAAATAATTGTTGGCAATTGCGCGACAAAAACGAATGCTATATGATACGTTTTTCACTTTCATCGATTTCTGGTCTTGCGAGCGACGATTCCATAGACGGCGATTTCTATCTCGATGAAGCCATGCGACAAAGCCGCCTCGAAGTCTCGAACGGATGCAGTGGCGCGTGCCACTTCCACTTCTGTCGCATTTACCGTTGCATCGCACCATCACCACCGTGCCGCCACATTCGCAACTACTGTCAACTTTCACTTTTCCTAGAGACCGACTGTTAACTCGTCGATGAGTCGCCGCGAGCTTCTCGCACGAGTTCACGCGATTTGCGCTAACGTGATTCCTTGAGGAAGTCTTTTACGCATAGGTTACACTCAAACACATACGCAGGGCTTATGAAGAATGGTATTCAATAGACGAAGTTAGCACTTCATCGTCGTTTCATTCATATCGTTGGTCGCGGCTAGTTTTTATCCTGCAACAGAAATTGTACATGTTCGGTAAAGTGTGGTTTGACATATCCTATCTTTTTTATTTATTTAACAGTCAACATATGTTTATTTATTTTGCGTCAACAACAACAATAAATTGCTATAGAAAAATACCAACGAATAATTGCGACAATTCGGATTTATACAAAAAATTTTATAATTATGTTAATATTATTGACAATTGATTTATTTTCAATTTCGATGCTGAGTTATAATGCCAATTTTCAATTTTGGTCGTTTGATATTAATTACAGCTGGAGAAAACGATGAAATGTTCTGAATCAATGGATGATCATGGAATGATTGGACTTTTTGACCGTTTAAATATCTTCTGAAGACAGTTTTTCTAATCTCCAAAGTATTTATCTTGGATTAAATTTCATTCAAAATTCAAGAACCAGAGGTAAGTAGAGCTAATAAAACGTGCTGACTATCAAGTCACTTAATCTGCGAGAGTTCGCTTAGAGGTATTTCATCCGCAAAATATCTCGACCAACGACTAAGTGAGCGAACTGTATCCATTCGTCACGCCTTGCTTGAACACTTTCGCTTTCGTGCTCTGTGGCTCATCATGGTTCTTAATTAGACACTGTATAATCATTGTTTTACAGTTATTCACCGATGCTTTATCTCTTGCGAGCGAAGAGCTCCAATCTAATATGACGATCGACGATTAACTCGCTATATAAATATTAAGCTTTTGTTTATTAATAGTAGAATAATTGATATTAAACTTCAATAATGACGTGTTGGAGAAATATCCTTCTTACGCAAAATAGTATCCTATTTTGCGTAAGAAGGAAAGAAAGAGAAAGTGGAGATGGATCTTTGAAAAACAGTAATATTGAACATTATTTTTTCAAGGATTTCATTTTTTGATAAAATATTACGATAGTTTTCATGAGAATGTATTTACTGAAAGACTTTATCTTTAAGTTTTATGTATCATTAATAGCCTATATTACAATTGGTCACGGTGCACGTACGTAGTGAATAATAAAAAGCGAAAATATATGTTCTAAATGCAAATCATAATATTATTGTTATTTACAAGACGAATTGATTATTGCAAATATTCAATTTCTCTTCGGCAAACTTTTATCGATAATTTTGTCATAACGATTTCTTATTTTGATATTTTTCCTTTTCTTTTTCTAAATTCGAACACACTATCTTACGAAAATCATTATAATCAATACTGTACATACATACTGGATTTCAAGATTGAGCTCTTTTTTTGAACGTTTTCTTTATTGCAATTTTGAATATAACAAATGTCCAATAGGAAAACTAAATCTTCTAAATTTTTAAAAATAAGTTTTCTCGGAGTGAGATTTAGGTTGTTTCTCTCGCCAAAGAAGTGAACTTAAATGTTTATGAAACAAATTTACAATGGACCACCTGGTATTAAATCAAGTATTTTTTTATATCATGAAAGCTTCAAATATCAAGTTTTCTTATTGGACCATCGACTGTAAACTATATCGTAAACAAATATTCAAGCTGTTTCTAAACTCAATGTATATATTATTATAGTTATATATTGTTATAGTTACATGATAAATTAAAGCGACATGCTCGTGTTTTTTATATATTAATAAATTCAATTATCTTTCCAAATGTCTCAAGAGAGACATTAGTATGAAATGAGAGTAGACACGCGTCATGGATAAACAAATGCAAAATCCTCGTTTTACGATTCATTAATTACAATTATATACACATTTGCGATGATATCATATGGCATGGCGTTCAATTAGTCGGACAAGCGACCTGATTTATCGCTTTCTCTGTTTCATTGATTATTGAGCCGAGAAAGTTGTAGCGACAAGTCGTCGATGCTACTTAAACGTCGTATTATTCGTTATTTTAGTATCTTTAACGCACGCAACGAAATGGAACGAAAAACGATAATAACATGGAACAACCGAAGCATTTTATTGGTACGTGTGATTGTTACCATTTATTGAAAATTATTGCTATTTATCGTCGATGCTTATATCCATCATTTAAGTTAAAAAGCGATTCTATCTATCAATTCCGCACCGTCCGGTTCTGTTGAAATTATGAAAAATTATAGCATTACAACTTATATCAAGTTTTTCTATGGAAATATTAATGTGATTGTTTCATTTTCGACTACGAGCATACATTACCTGCATTTGTATATATGTCACTTATTGCTTTAATATTCCTTATAATGATCGAAAATGATCTTTACATTGTATACAACTAACTACATTGATAATTATCTAATATATTAAGATTACAAGATATAGATAAATGTAAATAACAAGAATTAAATAGTAAGGAAATTAGCTAATTACATTTGAAAATTATCAAGAATATAAAGTTAAATTATGTTAAAAGTTCTTAGATTGATCGATTCTTTTACTGCTTAAATTCTAATTCTGATTTGAAAAAAATTATGATTAGATTCTTCGTATGTTCTTATATTTATTCTACATAATTGACAAAGAAGAATTGGCAGAAACTTTTACCGCGAGATTGTATTTCTAATATCGCGTGTATCATTTTAGTTATCTAGTATATTATTACATAAAACAAAACTTAAAGAAACTCGTCAAAAGTTCTTTCTGAGAGATTTGTATTTCTAACATGTATATTGATACTTGATCTTGAAAATTAAGACCTGAAATTTTATATTATATTCTCTTAACTTCTCTATTCATTATTCTTTTGGTTTCATTGTAGGTTTTGTACCTTTTTGTGACATCGATTATCTTCACTGCGGCATACGATCCGGATGACAAATCTTTGAAGGATATTCTTTTACCCGAGGGTCAATTCGAAGCATTTTACTTGAAAGGTACGCAAGATGAAGAGCAAAACGCTGTGAGACCACCTCATCTTCATGGATCTTTTCATCAGTATCGAAATCCTGCACTGGTTAGCGTGCCGAATAGTGCTGCTTACGGATTTCGCTTCGACGGAAAACGCCGTTTTAACTTTAATTGAATTGTCATGAACAATTACACTTTAAAATTAAAAAGAAACATTTATATTAAAAAAATTGATGTTTTCACAGCGAGAATTTTGGCTATCGTTGAAATCCGATAAAAACTTATATTATATATACTTAAAATTATATATTATATAAAATTATATAAATATTTGACGATAATGATTAGTGGTTAGCAATTAACGATTGCTTTGTACAGTCAAGCGTACGCAACCTGAAAATGTTAATATTTAAGAAAATGTACAGACTTTTGTAATGTTATTAGAGGAATATTTAGAATTTTTTTAGTGGGAAAAGAAAATTGCAAATACATTTTGGTATGGAGGTAATAAGATATACGTTTCAAATTAACCATGTTAATATTGTTGTTGAGCTGTAAATGTACAAAAAATGTACAATAGCAATAAACAACCCTAACAAGATATATTTAAAACAGTTTTTAAAGTGATATGTTTAATAGACGATTTATTTCCACTCAAACATTTACAAACGCGATTATACTACAAAATTTATATTTTATTATCGAAAAAATAATTCTGTACTGTTTTTTAATTATAATAAAAAACATGTAATTTATTAATTTCTCTAAAAGCCGATAATGATATTGATAATGACATATTTATTCACAAAAATATTTGGAATATGATAAATTGAAAAGTGATCTTTTCCAACATTTTCGTTGAAGGAAAACAAATGTAAATGAACAAAAGAGATAGAGATGTAATTAATTACGAAGGCTGGTGGTCTTAAGACAGATGTATTAATGTTATAGATATTTTAATAAAGTATTTTTATAAAAATTTATTTAAACGCATCAAGAGAAAGAGAGAGAGAGAGAGAGAGAGAGTGTGTGCGTGTGTGTGTGAGAGAGAGAGAGAGAAAGAGATTTGATTGCAATAATATATTTGATTTTGAAGAAATCTGATTTGCTAATAGATATAATTAGCTATCTTTGAAAGCTTTGATTTCTTCTTTATACTAATCTAAGCATTTTTCAAACATCTCTGTAACCTGTACCACGCCTTTTCCGTTACTATCGTTCTTGTAGTAAACATAATTATCCCGGTTACGGTATTATATCTTTCTTATCAGAATTATTTTTTTCTTCTCTTTCTTCTCCTCGTTTTTCTTCTTTAACTTCTTCCTTTTCTAATTAATTGATTTATATTTATAAGAAATATACATTCAAACATTATAAATTAGATAGCAGGATAAAGTTGGTTTTTTGAATGCATATTTTACATTGAATGTAGTTGTCTGAATTTCAAAACGAAACAATATTATATATTACTTTGTATAAGAGAAATCTTAAAATTAAACACACTGCATTTAACATTAAATGCCTAAAAATCGATATCAAGAATAAGAACTGATTAATTTTGTGCTATGACTTTCTATGTTTAGATAATGTATTAGAAACCAACGCTGCGCACCGAAGAACTTAGAAACACGCAATTAAAACGTTGTACGAATGATGTTACTTTCATTAAGTCACTGGCCTTTATTACGACTACTCTCGCGTTAAATTGAAAGATCGGATTTTTAGTAGCGGAAATATATTTTTATAATATAGTTAAATATTCTTAAACGTAAACTTCAAAGTTACTACCTACAACAATGTGAAAATATTCGTATGTATTATACTGATTAGTTGAAAAATATAGTTTACATTATATATGTGTTTTCACCTCTGCAGGTATTAAGAATAAACGAAATTTTATCACCTTAAGAAAATACTTCTTGCTAACTGTACCAAACTAACTAAAACTATATATTTCGCAGTATTTGTTAGTAGCTTATTAAAGATGTTGAAATTTTTAAATTGTTAGAATTTATAATTTCAATTTATTTGCCAATAATTTATGTTTTAAATAAGTCACACACAACCATTAAAAATTTATAAATATTATTCAAAATAATTTATAATTTACTATAAAATATTTTTTATCATATTCATATAACTTTTTTTACATAGCTAAAGGTTGTTGCCCCTTGCAAAATCGATTATATAGAAATAAAGTGATGATACATAGAATATTTTACAATTATTTATTGCTTTGATAAATGTTATCAAATGTGTGTGACGGTTTTGATTGTAATTTATATTTACATACAATATCTAGTCTTGTGTTATAATAATGAGGATATGTAGACAACAATTTGCATAAACAATAATATATAGACAATTCATTCCCAATATGTGCTCGTCCAGTGCTTCTAATAGCTTTTATACACGTGGGGGATTATACACGCCTACCGATGCGTTATCAAGCCCACTTCGGTACAAACACCGTTCTAACAGCTATGGGGGAAGCTTTAAAAGAGGTAGCTAATTACTGTCGCACGACAGTCGTCTTTGCAGTAGTGATCTAACAGAATTTCGTGCCAGCGACGATATGAAGATCACGTGTTTTATTACGGTGAGTGGGCAATTACGACAATTATTTTCGCAGTGAAGAAAGTGAATAACAAAATACACAAACTATGTGGTTAGTTGCATCAATTTAGTAAGAATATTATAGAATCAATATAGATATTATAGATTATTGATTAATTCAGTTTATTAGTACAGTCTGGTAACCTTAATAATAAATAATTTTTCGCATTTCTAATATAATGTGTAATAATCCGGAACATACTTGCTAGTAAATAGTAACTACTGCTATGAATTATTCGATGATTTTTTAAATGAAAAGTGATCATATGATAATAATATTAGGTTCACCAACTAAAATTTTCGAACATGAGATAGTGGTCATATAGATGATTTTATTTGTAAACTTTCAAGTAGCTCACCAAAGTAAATTTCTTATAAAATGTTGTATAATAAAAGTTACGATATATTGCGATTTATAATACTATATATATTTACAATACTATATGCAAATGTTGCATATATATATATATACATATATATATATATGTCAAAGATATATTTTACATATATTTTTATACACAATATGTATTTGCATATAGATTTGCACATATCTATCATCGATAGTATCCACCAACGAAATCAGACCTTTGAATGGGTAAGTAAATTTTCGTAATTCTATCTTTTATAATCTATACTTTAACCAAAATTATTCTCACGTTTGAATTTATTTTCTGTATCTCAAAAGTAGCTTTACAAAACTAAATCTCGATAATACAAGTTTTCGTAGTTCAGTAAAAGTTTATTATTTTATTCTACATTCAACCGGAACTCTTTCTTAACATTCGAATAACATATCCACTTATCATTGACTTTTTTCAGGATAATGAAATCTAGATTGCATGAGGATTTGGCATTTAAAGATTTCATCGTAAAAAAGGAAATAAATACTATTCCCGAAGTTTATCCAGATATTAATTTCACATTACAAAAGCCTCAAGCAAAAGTACAGATCGAGACTTTACAAAAGCCGAAAAAAACCCGCGAGCTCAAACTATGGCCTGAACAGCATCATCACTACGACAGTGGTCACTCCAGACGTTTGCTAAAACGTTCAAAAACTCGTTCAATTGGTGATACATCGTACGAACTGGGCGACAATCAGTTAAACGAATTAACCAAGTCTATTCCACAAGTACACGACGAGAGCTCTATTTACATCGAGCCCATACTTCGAGTCACCACGAAAAAAAATATCTTCGATTCCATCATGGACATCCTGCATCAGCTGCTGAATATGCCAAAGAATGAGTTAGGCTCGGTGGTGGGTCCCATCCAGATACCAGGATCAAAACGTAAGATTTATCTCCGCTTAATGGAATCGGTCAAATCAAATCATGTGATGGTACGTTTCATCACGCAAGTACCGATTTCTATGATCGACGTGGAGCCTAAACATATTATTCCGATTCTACCCGTAATCGATCCTGTCGCCACGCTCTTGAACAACCAACACACTGTTCTGACCGATGCGATGTTTGCTTCCAGTCGTCATTTACCTCGAAATACTAACCACACTTCCGGTAAAATTCTAAGTCCGCAATTGAATAAACCGTCTGTTTTGAACTTATTGAAGCATCCTTCAAAGGATCTTCGAGATACCGGTTTGAGTGATACAGAAGTTTTCTTGCCCAGCAAAGGGGAGGAGAATAAGACTCCACTCGTAGAGTTAAACTTAAAGAATCACGAAAATTCGTTCCTCAGCGAGTCAAATTCGTATTATCAGGCGGGTGAGGACGCGAGAAATCAGATGAAGTTATTAAATGATACAACAACAGCGATCGAGAACGACGATTCGAAGGATACACCAGGTACTTGGTACGAATTAAGTACACATCGCTTGCCTCTTCGACAAATCGCCCCACTATATCCTCTTACATCCGTCGAACATACAGAGCATACATCAAGCTCATCTTCCTCCCCCTCTTATGCGGACGCATACAAAATGCCGAGTGACGTTCTCACAGGTTCTAGTTTATATACCAGCCCGCACACTCAACTCAATAACGTCAATTCGGCCTCAGAGTCCTATATAAACTCCTACGATCAACATTATGATACTTCGAGTTCATACTCGATGTCTTATAGCAAGCCAGATGATGTACACACTAGTTTGAATAACTACTCGACATATCAAAAGCAGAATGAATTTAATGGTGGTCCGAGTTCTTATACGACTTCTTATCAGAACCAAAACGAATTCAATAACGTCCCGAATTCCTATTTGACTTCTTATAGAAAACAGAATGATCTTTACGGTGCATTCAGCTCATATTTGGCTTCTTATGATAAACCCAACAACGTTCAACTTTCTTCGAACTCTTCTATCTCTTTTTCTCACGAAAAGCAGAATAGCGATCAAATCTCTCCGAATTCTAACGACGCTCTTCACGTCATAGATCCACCTCCTTACTTTCCTGGCTATCAGAAATCATTGGGGAACTACGTTAATCAATCATCAACTGAACACTCTGCGATCCATCAACCGCGCTATATCTTACAAAACTTAAACGAAAATAGTTTGAGAACGAATCAGCGTGGTGATCAAGGTGAGCTAAAGCGAGATAAAAATGAATCGAGTTTCCAACAAAATAGAGATTCCTTGGAAACCAATGATCGCGACAGGAAGCAGCCGATTAGATATAAGCGCAAAAACACAGCTTGGAACGCCAATTTGGTAAAGATAGCAGATAATCATCATGAAACCAAACAGCCATTTGAGAATGCGAGAGAAACTTCGCATGATATCACGTGGAGCTCGTTTAAGGAAGGAGATGCAGTTGATCGTCAAGATATCGGTAAACGCCGTGATATACTAATCCCCATTACTAAAGCTTCGAAATGTCTCGTTTTCAATAAGAAGAACGAATGTGAGCAAGTGAAACCCACACTAACAATTCATTGGAAAACACTGATAAAGACTATTAAGAAATAAGTACAATTTTGCGTGGAGACCGAGTCGATTGTTATAATCGTTCCGAAAGTGGAGACATGCGATATAGAATCAAAATATGAGATTATTAAACGTCACTACGGAAATCTGACTACGCATTGAACGACAGGTAGTTTGACGATGAGATCATTGTTATTGCTATGGTCATAATGACTAGTACTCCTACAGTGAATAGCACGACGAAAATAGTATAACCATGGATAAGGACAACCAATAGTCGTCCCACGGTGAATAGCACGCAGAAATTCGTCGTGGACGCAAAAATAGACTATATGGCGAACAACATGTTTACAAAACTGACAATGAAACTGACGATGAAATCAATAAGCACCACAATAGAAACATCGTTTGCGGTTGAAAGTACCATGACAAACGATGCACTTGCATTAAGAAATCTTAAGCCAAAATTTTAACCCTACATTTGATTTGTAAATTCCTATAGAATTCAAAGAGATTCTCTCTCTCTCTCTCTCCCTCTCTCTCTCTCTCTCTCTCTCTCTCTCTCTCTCTCTCACACACACGCGCGAGTGCGCGCACGCACACACACAATGTAACATCTTGCAGTATGTCTTTATATATCATTTTTTTCTTCCTTAAGGCTATGAATAGTCATTTATTGCCATCTTCTTCATGTTGACTTTCAAAGAAGAATCTGTTGAGAGTTTTTATAAAGATATCAAATTCTGTACTGCTTTAGAAAATAAATATTCGAAAATAATTTATAATATTCTATCTATCTCTGATTTTTCTGTGTTTACTGTATAAATTTTTATTCTTAATTTTAACAACTATTGTATCAATTATATAAATTTTCTTTAATATAAATAGAGCATATGCAGATAGAGTACATATATTAAATATAATATAAAACTGATTAATATCATTTTAAACACTCTTTTTTGCATTATAGAAATTATATAATTAAAATGTAATATTTATTAAAATTAAAATTAAATACTGTGTTAAATGCATGCAAAAGTAATAGATTATTGTAAACATTATTTTCGAAAAATTTGTTCTTAAAGCGGTATTATTTAAACATTTAATATCTAATATATATAGAAATATAATTTAATAATAAACTGTTTTAAATTTATTTATTATATACTCGTATATATAGAGAATTTTACTTTCTATATAAATTAAGAAATATTGATATAGCATATGCATATAAAAATATATATATTTTTATAAAATATTTTCTTTCAGTAGATATAATGACTAAATTTTATATATAAAAGATGCGTGTGTGCGTACGTGTATGTGTCACTAAATTTGTTATAAGGATATATGTTATAATATATACAATATTTGTATAAAATATAATGAAAGTTGAGAATATAAAAAGAATCATAAATAAAAATAATAACAATAACAAATAACGAAATTATATGTTATAGTTATAATTATAATTATATTTTATATTACAATTTCTAAAAACCGACTTCAAAAACGTCTCAATTGTTTTGACCAGATTTTGTCGTTACAACATATTCATATTGATTTTGTCATTACAACATATTCATATGAAAATTTCACGGCTGAATAAACACAGAAGTTCGATGTTTCGTTTGGGAACTAAAATAATAATATCAATACAGAAACATATTACAATTGGGAAAATCAATTCACTTTTAAAGAAGGTGTGAAAACATGAACTCAAATGTGTTGAAACATTGAGGCCACTCTTTTGCGATGCCGACTAGATATCTTGCTGCTGCCGATTAAATGTCACGGTTTACTTTGCAAGCATTGTTTGCGGCTGTCAAATAATCACATTGATGTTGACAGTTCGGTCTGTGTAAAAGAAATATAAAAAAAATTCAAGGAGACAGAAGAAAGATAAAAATAGAGAAAGTAGATAAAGGAAGAAGAGAAAGATAAAGAAAAAAACTTATGTATACTATATGTATCATATTTATTTATAAATAATTTATTAATTAATAATAATTATTGTTTTTCATTTAATTTATTAATTTATTAATCGACAAAATTCAATACATTATTGTAGCATTATTGTGTCAATTCATTTAATAAAACTCGCTGCTAGGTTGCATGTTAGTTCTCAAGCAGTTAATATCGAGATTACGTATTCTGAATGAATTAATAGTTTGTCTGATTACATCTTTTAAAGTATTGGGTTGACAAATAAGTTCGTTCGGTTTTCTAGAGTAGAATAAAACACAATTTTTTGATACACAAGATAAATTTTAATCAATTATATATTGATCTTTATCGATTACCATCTTTATCGATTACCTCTAGCCATCTTTCCACCAACTTCATTATGCCGCGCTCGTAAAACGTCTGGGACGTATCGGCGAAAAACCAATCCGGGTGGTTTTTAACGGCCTCTTCATCCTTGAAGGTTTTCCCGTTCATAAAGTTCTGCAGCGACCGGAATAAATGATAATCGAAAGGGGCAAGATCCAGTAAATACGGAGGATGAGGCAAAACATCCCAGCCAAGCTGAAGCAATTTGTTCCGAGTGGTCAATGACGTATAAGGTCTGGCGTTGTCGTGATGGAAGACGACAGCCTTGCGATTTACCAATTCTGGACATTTTGTGCGGATTGCTTGGTTCAATTTCGTCAATTGCGAACAGTATATAGTTGAATCAATCGTTTTGCCTGACAGTAACAGTTTGTAATAGATGACACCGTTGAAATCCCACCATACAGAAAATATTATTTTCTTCGGATGCAATCCCGCCTTGGAGGTTGTTTGCGGTCGCTCGCTGCTGTGCCCTTAAGATCTTCTACGCGTTACATTATCGTAGACGTAGACGTAGACGTTACATTTTTCGTCACCCGTCACCATTCATTTCAAAAATGGGTCATTTTCTTGGGGTTTCCGTAGCGAATCGCAGATGGATATGCATGTGGTCAAGTTAGCCTCGATTAATAGATACGGTACCTAAACATTAAGCCGAGAAACGTATCCCAGCTGGCGCAAATGCTTTTCTACGCTTGTGTGATATATTCAATGTCGTAGCAATCTCTCGTACCGATTGGGATAGATTTATTTCGATTATAGCCTTAAGGGGATCCTGGAGTCGTCAACGAACTTGCAAAACGTCGATAACGTAGAGGCGATCGTCAAAAAGTAGGGAACGTTATTATCTGTTATTATCTGTACGTTAGTGAATTTTGGTACACATATGTGTATATATATTTACATAGTATTTATATAGTAAAGACAATTGCCGGATAATCGCTGATGCGATTACGCTATCCTTTCATCACATTTTTCCATATATATCTTTTCTCACAGACTTCGGACAAATGTGTGTGCATTGTCATTTCGACTTTTCTACACACAGATCTTATATGAATGTGAATGCGACGTTGCCTTCTCTCCGAAATGTGCATTTTGCTGCTGCTTCTCGGATTCTTTGATTCGCTGATATATATACAGTGTAACATAATAAAAAATAATTTGAGCAATGAATATTATTACAAGAAAATGATTCTTCAGAAATAGTATGCTTGTTTTCACGTAAATCGGCTTCTCACTTTATCGTGTCAGCGACTTCTTTTTATCAAGTTTACGTTATATTAGCAGTACGGAAACATTTTCGTACAATGAATATTCCTGTCAAAATAAAGCGGAGTATTACAAATCATCCGAAAAAAGCGATGGGAAACTATTGCGAATAGGACACCAAGTTCCTCTTGCAACGTTTACGTCGCATTGGAAGTACGGAATTGAAAATGCTTTCGTACAGTGAATATTTCTGTCAAAATAAAACGGAGTAATTCAAGACATCCGAGAAAAACGATGGGAAACTATTACGATTAGGACACCAACTTCCTTCTGCAACGTTTACGTTGCACTAGCAGTACGGAATTGAAAACGCTTTTGTACGGCAAATATTCCTGCCAAAATAAAGTGGAGTAATAAAAAACATGTAAGAAATATGAGAAACTATTGCGAATAGAACACCGACACTTTCTTGCAAAGTTTATGTCGGATTGGCTGCACGGAATGAAAAAGACTTTCGTACAGTGCATATTCTTGCCAAAATAAAATGAAATAATGCAAATCATCTGAGAAAAACGATGAGTAACTATTGCGATTAGGACGAGTCCTTCTTGCAAAGTTTACGTCGCCCTGGCTGTACCAAATTGAAAACCTTTTCGCTTCGCATAATAAATATTCGTACGAAAATAAAAAAGAGTAATAAGAAACATCTTGGAAAAATGATAAAAAATTCGATGCGCCGAATTGAGAATTCTTTTATAAAGGTAAAATACATGTGTGGGAATATGAAACGGAGCATTGCTCAATATGAAATTAATATTCTATATCGGCCTAGAAAAATTTTATGTGTAATTGAAAATTTATGTCGCACTGACTGGGCTGAATTTCAAATACTTTTGCATGGCAATGTTTCGCTTCATCTTTGCACATATTTTGACTATGCGAAAGGGCTTTGATAAAGTTTGAGAGAGAGAGAGAGAGAGAGAGAAAGTGTGTGAGAAAAAGAGAGTATAAGAGAGAAAGAAAGAGAGAGAGAGAGAGAGAGAGAGAGAGAGAGAGAGAGAGAATGAGAGAGGGAGAGTATGGGAGAGAGATTGTGTGAGAGAGTATGAGAGAGAGGGAGAGGGAGGGGAGGGTGGGGGAGAAAGGGGCGGGAGGGGGAGGGAGAGGGAGAGAGAGGGCGAGTATGAGAAAGAGATTGTGTGAGAAAGTGTGAGAGAGAGAGAGAGAGAGAGAGAGAGAGAGAGAGAGAGAGAGAGAGAGAGAGGAAGAGTGCGAGAGAGAGAGAGAGAATGTAAGAGAGAGGAGGGTATGAGAAAGAGGAGAGTGTGAGGGAGAGAGTAAGAGAGAGAGAGAGAGAGTGTGTGTGTGTGAGAGAGTGTGAGGGAGAGAGAGTGTGAGAGAGGGAGTTTAAGAGGCAGTGTATGAGAGAGAGAGAGAGAGAGAGAGAGAGAGAGAGAGAGAGAGAGTGGGGGGGGGAGAGAGAGGAGGAAGAGAGAGAGAGAGAGAGAGAGAGAGAGAGAGAGTGTGAGGGGGAGAAAGAGAGTAGGGAAGAGAGAGAGAGAGAGAGAGAGAGAGAGAGAGAGAGAGAGAGAGTGTGTGTGTGTGTGTGTGTGAGTGAGAGAATGTAAGAGAGAGGACAGTGTGAGAAAGAGCACAGTGTGAGGGAGGGAGTGAGGGAGAGGGAGTTTGAAGGAGAGTGTGAGAATGAGAGAGAGAGGAAGGGAGGGAGAGAGAGGGAGAAAAAAACAGTGTAATAAAAAATAAGGGTTCTCCTTTAAAAAACGCATGTTAACTTCCAAATGACCTTGAAGGTCATGGCCAATGTCAAATTCAAGGTCACTATCAAGTCCGTTACTCGATTTTCTATAACTTTTGTGTTTAAAGCTTTTCATGAAACTTGATCCTGCAAAGTTATCCGGCGGGTCCGGCATTTTCAAGACACTCTATATATACATATGTATATCAAAATTCACTAACGTCGATAACAGATGATAACGGCCCTACTTTTTGACAATCGG